GGATTTGTGCCTCGCCCCTTCACAGGACGCGTCTGGTTTTGCAAGAGCTCTGAACCCTGAACACAGGCCAATCCTCTTGAAACTGTCATCACCTACGTCCCTTCACTATCTGCGGTTTGCTGCTGCGCAGCCTAGGTGCCTTTTGTGTGAACCAGCATGCCTCCATTTGCAACGGATTCGGCCCACCACCAGCAGATCCCCGGATGTACGAGGCCTTGCATTTGTGGGAAGGTCCAGATTGGGGGTTCAACAAAGCTCATGTATGATCATGTATGGCCAACCCTCAGGAGTGGGACCTGAAGCGACGAGATTGCGTCACTGGTTTGCCGTATCCGCTGTGCGATTGCAAGCACGCCAAGTACCTGAACGATGCGGAGGAGATGTGCGAATTGAACAAGTTCGACGACGTCATCGACTTTCTACACAGAACAGTTCCCGAGTTTGCACAGGTCGTGAGTGTCGACATCAAATATGAGGTGTTCGAGAGGCAGAAGCACCGTGCAAACATCGTGAAACGTTAACCGGCAAACACCTTGCATCATGCCCGAGACATACGCTAATCAGAAGCCTCTACCACCTCAAAGCTTGGCTGCAGCCAGGGCGTGGTGCGTGGCGGAATTGGTGCGTGCTTTCTACTGCCACATTCCGCAGCGTGTCCTCCTGCATAGCGACAAATTTCTGGCAGCTCGGAAGGAAGATCAACATATTTTCAATATCTGGCTGGTTTTTTGGGTGACTCACAATAAGTCAGCAAAGACAGCAACAGCATCCTTTGCAAGGCAGCTGTGAAAACAAGACGAGTGGCAAAGCCAACAAACTTTGCCCCAGATGCTGCGAGTATGTGGCTAGCGAAATTCCATCGGTCACGAGCCATCAACAGGATGTGCACGTCCTGCGGCGAGTAGAGCGGGAGAGAGACGGAGGTTCACTGTGTGAGTTGGTTGTTGAGGACATTGAGGAAGAGGAGCAGCAGGTCTACACATTGCTGACGACGCTTACTGTTCGGAACTGCAAGGCCTCACGCGCGGAAGACAAGGTGCGCACTTCTGCGAAGGTGTGCAAGACGGGAGGGAATGCTTCGCCTTATACCATATAGGTCAAGTTTCGCTCATTAGCAAATACATGCAAGACAACAGCAGTTTGCGGGGAGGGAAAGGAGCTCTTCTGGGGCACATACAAGCACGCATGGTCTCTGCCCTGTGCAGTAGCACGACATTCTCAAGAATGTCACACACTTTGTCAGGAGATGGTTTTAAGCAAGATTCCAGACATCCAGACCTTCGATGAGCAGCTGCAGTACGTGGGGACCCCGGCTTTGCGTCGGAAGTCTTGGCAAATTCGAGGTGTGCGGGTTCTGCTACTCCTGCTATGCACTTGCCGCTTCGACCGAGGTCATCTTCGGCCAACGCGGTCTTCTAAAGAGGCATGTTCGCGGGCATGAGTCTGAGTGGCTCTGAGCGAGCATGAAGCCGCACGAGCTCCACAGCCAGTCAACATGCAAAGCCCTCATGCGCCATCAAGCCGAAGCAAGCGCCTTTTCCTCTGGTCAGTTGAAATCCTTTGAATCTCTCAGCAGGGATGGGTCGACCCGCTAAAAGATGGCCCTGGCGCGGGTCCCGGAGGCGCCTCGCCGGCCTGGGCCTCCTCAGCGCCGCCAAGCGCGTGACGCTGCGCGCCGCCAAGAGCGTCGCGGCTCGGCTCCGGATGTGTCGTTCTGTTTCGTTATATATTTTTTTATGTCGCACATTGTCGCACACGATCACCGTTTGCAATCAGCATACTTGAGGAGGACCTGGACAGGCCTGAGGGTTTGTTGATGCTGATGCGGATGCAGGCTTGGAGCTTGGGTTTGGCTATTTCAGCGGTACGGAAATTGTCAGAGGATTCTGGGCAATTCTGGGCCAAGTCGAGAACAGATTCAGGTTGGCAAACTCCACATACACCTGGGACTGTCTCTTGATGAAGCTGGTTCTTTGGGCTGTTTTTGGGGGCATTCTGCGCGTGGTTTTGGATCTCTTTGGCGTCCTTGGTGACCTCATGTGATATGGGTGTTTCCTGGTAATTAGACGTCAAGGCCTCTTTGCAAACTTTTTTCATACTGTATTGGCCGTTTTGAGGGTTCAGGCTTGTCCGAGATTCCAGTCGTTGATGGCTTCCAGGGTGCGTCGTTTGGGCTTTGGACCCTCATCAAAGCATTTCAGTCAGAGTTTTGTAACCGGATTTGTGTGCGTCATCAGAGCTCAAGCACGCAAAATCTGACTTTGTCTGCGATTATGGTTTCGGTTCTTACTTCGCCGATGCATCGAGCAGTTTGTTTCGAGCTTTGCACTGGCCCATTCCTAGACTGTAAATGCGTGTAGATGCTAAACGAAGCCAGCCGTAGATTCGCTGTAGTTGCTTCGGAAGCTGAAAGAGTTGTTATACTTTGCATTACTTTGCTCATCAGGACAGCGTGCTCTTCTCCCCAAGTTCGACTTTGTTTCGTCGTACCCGTTGCCCGCACCCCGTCCAAAGGACTTGCGTGATGTACGCGAGCTGAGCGATTTGAGCGAGTCCGCGCGTTTCGGCAGCATTTTTTCTGGCAGAATCGTGAAAGCAATGACCAGAGTTTGCTGGTAGTGGTGTGATGCGGCGTGTAGAGAATTTCGGTGCACCGACCCGATGTGACACGCAGAGCCCGCGAAGCCGTGAACAGAGGCAGAGTTTTGAATCACAACCTTGAGGCACTCGTCATCAGAGTCAGACTCCATCGACTGCTGAGTCGCCCGATGCTCGCCTTAAGCCAGCCCCGGCTTCTTGAAGGTCTCGAGGCTTTGCTAAAGTCTGAGATTATATCAACGGAGCTTCTCTGTGTTAAAGCCTTCGCAACTTGTGCACATTCCATTCTCGACTCCATTGAGGTTTCAGCCGTGCTGCAGACTTGGTTGACGGTGGTGACACAGAGGCTGCATACTCGGTGGAGGAGCAACCCAATGCTGTGGCGGACTGAGTGAGCAGGCGCTGACTGGGCGAAGCACTGAATGCTGCGCACGGTTTTTGCCCGATGGGTCGTGCAGTGATCCATGGGAGCGATCCGCTAGGAAGACACTTTGACTCGGAGTGCGGCAACTTTCAGATGCGCAGCTCATCTTGCGAGGACAGTCAGGATATTGATTCGATCCAGGCATCACAGCACACCTGACGTATGGAACCGGGGAAGATGTTGCCACAAGGACCAATGGCACGCTGAGCGGTCAACTTTTGGGGGCTGTCCGTACAGAGACACAGCCCAGCTGCTGGAGCTCCGAAGGATACATCGGTGGAGGAAGTGCGAGCCTGGAGAGGCACTGACGCTGTCCCAGCGGCTTTCGTTGCGGGCGACATGAATACCTTGTGCTGCACGAGAACTGTCAAAGTCGCGTCATGGCGGGATTCTGGCACTGGCATGGGCATGGGCTGGTGCAGGCGGCAGGGTGGTTTCGATGCAGCCGGGTTCGACATCGCTCGACCCACTTACTCCATTGCTCGGAGGTCCAAGGACTGGCACATGTGCGTGTGTGTGTGTATGTTAACCGTAACTATTGACTGTGTGACGGGTGGTGATCGCTGTTTCGCTTCACTTGAATGAACACATGCCATGCTACTGCGAGCCCCAGTGAGCCAAAGGAACAACAGACTCTTTGGACCGAGAGTGAGCCGGGGCCTCAGGGCGAGATTAAGGCGTGATCGAGCTCAGTTTACTCAGTAGGGGAGAGCCAGCACGAGGTGGACGAGCTAATATTGTTAGCCAAATCTTACGTATTGTTTCTACAAGTCAATGTCTGAGTGAGGGAGTGCGTCTCGGATGACGGATGCACTGCCAGCACCAGCTCTTTCCGCACCTTTCGACCACTTGCAGAGGGCGTCTTGTTGTGGTTTCAATGTGTTCTCACTCTCACGCGTAGCAAGTCGGACAGGTGCAAGCTTGTCCCGTGACTAGAATCCCTCTCTCGCATCGAAAGGGAGCTCTGGCCCGTGCCCAGACAAGCGCGGACATCCCGTGTCAACATGACTTTCCGTGCGACTCGCTTGTGAACTGAATTGCATGCCGCGGCCCGGGAAGTCCAAGAAGAGCTGAGAAGAGTTAGAGCAAAGCGTTCTCGAGGAGCTGAGCGCTCAGCAGATCCTTTGATGCAGCAGCATAGGATTTATCGCAAGATGAGAATGTAGGCAAATCTGCCCTTAAACCAAGGGAGAGCCCAGGCCTCGGCCAAGGCGAACTCGACGAACAACGTGGAAGTGTCACGAGCGTGTCATGGAAGTGTCATGTCGACGTCAATCCGGAGGCAGCTGCGCATGTAAAGTGACGTCTCCTCCTGGTGTATTCTCACACCTAAAGACCACCTATACTGATCAGAGACGAAAAAACTCAACCCGCCCTTGATCGGGTCCGTGCAGTTCCCGCAAGGGCGGGGCATGCTTTCATTACACAACCTGCCCGCGGGCTCAAGCTTTTGAAGTAGGAAGTCTGCCTCTGGGTCATCAGGCCTGAGGGCGGAAGGCATGGAAATGTAGCTCTTGAAGCTTGAGTCTGCGGGGGCCATGCGGAACAGCTGCTGCCAGCATGGCATGGCTCCTGTCCCGTTCGGGCCCTGAAGGCGGTGTTCGAATTGCAGGCAGTTAGCCGCAGTTGGACTGTGACATCAGAGACTTGTGAAATTGTTTCTACTTTGGGCAGACAGCCCCAGCCGGTCCTGGTGGCTTGGACTTTGCACTCAAGACGGTTTGTTCTGCGCCCCGCGAAGCGGGCCAGTCTTTCCTGACATGATGAGGCAGGTGAACAAAAGCCGGATGTCGGAGCGAACTTTGTGCAGAGCAAGCTCGGGTTAGGAGGATACTGGAGTTTTGCATGGTGTGGCAGACCTGAACTCTTGTGCTGCAATTAGGATGTTCTTGTCTCACCCCTCGGGGGTAGGACTAGGAGAGGTCCGAGGTCTGAGTCCGAGGAGTCGGAGGCTCTTTGAGGCTCTTTTTCTCTGGAGGCTCTGCGTGCCCGGGCGGGTCGCCGCGCGAGCGCGCGACGTGGCCCTGGCGAGGCAAAGCCTGGCTTGGGAGGCTCGCAATTGGCTTCAGGACTTCAGGCTTACTTAATTAAGCCAGCCACAGAAGTTTAGGGCTGCGGTCAGTTGCTCAGGACAGCACTTTGTTCTGATAAAGGTGTAGCTGAGTGCGTTTCTGGCAGTAGATCGGCCGGCTCTCCGGCGTGGTGAGATTAGATCTATACTTGTGACAAATGTCAAGTCAAGGCATGGAACGATATTGCAGGCCATGTGGGGGAGGAAAATTTGTGATGGCACCTCTCGTGACTCTAGTGGCTGCAAGGTCTGTCGGATGGCTCGGCAGCAGAGGGAATCATCTCCTTTTGATCTCCTTCGATCCCGCGCCACCAGGTCCTGGTCGAAAACATCAGCACGAGCCAGCGCCACAAGGCATCATCGTCATGCTAGGCTGCCGGCTGGGGGCTTGAGAGTTCTGCTCTGCGCTCCGATCCAGGCAGGGCTTTTCCGCCTCCAGCAGCTGATGCTTCTTCGCGGCTTTCTGGCCCTCCTGGCTGGGCCGCGCCCAGTCCCGAGGAGTCATCGGCTGCGGCAAGAGAGTAGGGTTAGGGCCGGAAGATCTTGAAAGTCCAATCAAAGTCCGACATACAGTCATTCTGTGGCCTCTCGCTTCGGTACATTGCCCGAGGCCGTGCCAGAGACCAAGCAGCAGAACGGGAATCTCGTGTGGAAGGCGCCCTGACACAGACGACGGGTCTCGAAAGCGGCAATGGCCCCGACCCGACAAATTAGCACGCTTCCTTCTAAGGCGATTCTCCTTCTGTAAGTTTTGAGAAGCAGTTGCATCGACCCCTGAAGTCCTTGCAGGTCTCCGACACCGCTCTTTGGAAAGGTTGGCTTTGGTCTTCCTGCTCGCCTGGCACATGCCTCAGTGACTGATCCAGGAAGTCTGGCATGGTTGCGTGTAGTGGTAGTCCTCTGTTCACCCACATGTTCATGCTTGCAAATTCTCGCACGGAGTTCTAGGGCGCTGCTGTGCTCAGAATCCTTGACGAAGTTGACCATTGGGATGCAACCTTGTAGCAAAGCGGATATATGCTGGAAGGGCTTTCTGCCTACAGACATGTTCCGGTCGCAGTTATCACCCGACAGCTTCCAGACTGTCCAGGAACCGGGCCGCAAAACGCAGCTGCTTGTCGGACTACCTCTTGAGGTGCAAGAAGCGTGGATCTGACGGGCGTCCTAGGGTCCCAGTCGTCCTTACAGTAGGGGTTGAGACTTGCATCTCTCCTCGCTCAAACCCACCCTGCTCAAGCGGCGCTGACACGTGCCTCCTGAGAATGCAAATCTTTCAAAGAGTCCCGGCAGAGCAGGTGGCGCCGCAGTGCTGCAATCAGCCGCACTTGCCGGTCCGATGCAGGGTTCGCCGGGTGCGTGTTCTGTAAATAGCAAGCCCCGGGTGATCTGTGGGACATGTGGGACTCCTGGTGCTGACTTCTGGTCTTGGAAGGCTCTTACTTGATCGGGGTGCGGGCAGCGAGGTTGATCGCTACACTGTACGGATGGAAGACTGAGCTGTTGGCGGAAGTGAGTTAGTTTGCTGTGAAGCCAAGTCTCCCTCTGTCCTGTCAGGGCGGCAGAAGTATGGCGGAGGTGGGCCTGCAGAGCCGTGCAGGGGCTCGGGACTTACGCAATGCCTCCGGCCATGTCAACTTGCTCGCAAGTCCGGGAAGGCGGCTCTTGGGCCTTTGGGGCTGAATGTCATCTTTGCCTGTTTGTGTTGTGGTGCACAGTTGAGGCAACGAGTGTGTTGCATCGTTCGGAAACAGATGTATGTGCAACGCACCCCTATGGTGGTACTCCATACCGGAATTGACTAGCTTGGACCAGAAGCGGCTCAGAAGCGCCGGCGAGCCGTGAGCCACCCTCTAGGAAGGCAAACAGTGCCGCAGCACTTGCATGACCTGTCAGAACCCCAAACTGACATCAGCCCGTAGCACGGAACCAAACGCAACTCCGCCCCAATACACCGAATCTCAAATCTTGGGCACTGAATCCCACCAAGCCCGAACTCCAAAGGCCAAAACCCCTTCCATTTCGATTTGAGCAAGAGGACAGTGTGCCTGGCCTGCAGATTTCTTTCCGTTGGCTTGGCGTGCCCCAGAAAGCCGCCATCTTCCCGAGATTCCAAACCCTGTGCCTGCCCCGCTGAGAGCCCGTTGAGAGCGAGGCGCCGGCGTTTTTTGTCAGCCGCCAGCTTCGCTCATCGGAGGGCCTTGCAGCGAGCCTTCGGCCCTGCACTCGGCTTCCTAGACTACGTTGTACCGTTATGTACCGTTACACCATGTGACACCTAGAGGCCACTGGGCCGTGGCCAAGCACTGCGGCTGTCTCCGCCGCTGGGCACTACAGGCACTGGCCGGGCCCCAACGCGCTGGGGGTTGACTTTGCCGAATGAATCCATGCTTTCAGTTTCAGATTTGACTTTTCAGGGTTCAGCACTCAAGCACCAGCTGTCGCCAGCGTAGTTTCACCGCTAGCGCGAGAGCCACCTCGGAGCCACGAAATCCAGCATGCTTGTCCGCAGCTGTTGCAGCACGATTTGGGTAGGTCATGCTGCAATCCTATTTTATGTTTCCTTTTTGTTGGCTTTTAGCTTGGGAGGGCAGCGACGCGAGGTTAAGGCGGTTCCCGGCACAAGAAAGGAAGGGCCCCCGACAGGAAGGGCACACAAGGCCATGAAGGAAAGGGGGGGCCGTCGGGCGGGGCCAAAACCTGAAAAAATCACAGGTCCTTCTACTCGTATCAGACCCCTCACAATTGAACCAAACAGTGGAAAACACATCATATACATGATGGTCCCACGGAACTCTCTCTAAGGACTCTAAACGCCCCGGCCTCCGGCGGCAGATTTAGGTCTTGTGATAGCGGCCCCTTTTGCCCCCTTCCCGGTGCCGTGTTCTCGCATCTTTTAATTAATGGTTGAGCATTTTCGCATCTGGAGGGTTTGGAGTCTTTCTTCACGCTGATCGGGGCTCCCGTTGTTGAGGACTTGGGTTTCAGGCTCGTGAATACAGGGCCTTGACTTTGACGCTTGAAGATTGGAGAGGTGCCTCGGTACTGCGCGGCCACGCTAGACACTGAGTTGAGAGCGTTAGTGCTGCGCCATTTCGGGCTTGTAGATGGAGGTCAAGCTTTTCAGTTGACATAAGTTTACCTTGTGTGCCCTCGTGCGCGAGTCATGAAGCCTGCTCAGAACCCGCCAGCCGCACCTCTTAACTCATCGGCGTGGCGCGTGCTTTCCTGTTAGCGCCGGGGCTCGTGTGCATGATCTTGAAAGGCAACTTGAAGACTGTCCGATTGTCCTAGTAGATCCAATAGTTATCACTGTTCCGCAGGGCGACGGCAGTCGCTCTGGCTCAGGTTGACGCAACGGCAAGCAGCTGACATCGAAGCGTCGCTTGGGTTTGTGCAATATTTTGGATCACGTGCCACCTATGATTAGCTGTTGCAGGGACTTCAAGGGTGACGAGGATTGTGTGTGTACGTCGCATGTAGTGCCAAAGGAGTGGGTATAGCGACGCAGAGCGCGACATGCATGGCTGTTGAGGACGTGACTTGTGCGGCTCTGCAGGTATTGTTTGATCTGCACGGCATGAGGACCTGAGTCCCAACTGCGAACCAAAACTGAGAACCCACTGCCTGGCAGCCTGGGCAACCAGGCCGAACTCTACAGCGCTGTGGCACAGCGCGCTGAGAGTCGCCCGGCTTTCCGTTTCAGCAGCCTAGCCGCCCAGGCCCAGACCTGGACACTAAATACATGCTGCATGCTCAAAGTTATTCGACAGGTCACGCTTTGTGTCTTTCGGAAGGCTTGGGAACGGCAGCCGCACGCAGTCACGCCAGCCGTCGCCTCGGTGCAAGAACGGGACTGTTTGGAACGTAGTGAGCCGAGAGCACCAGTCGTCGGGGGTTTTTCATCTTTACAGAGTCGAGTGGTCCGAGTCGAGTCGGCAAGTAGGGCATCCTGTTTGTTTGTACTGTTTGTACAGTGCTCCTCAGACCGAGTCATACCAGCGCATCCCGAAACCGTCGCACCTGGTTCCTCAATTTCTGTCCCCAGCAGGGTGGATCAGCATTTCCGAAGCCCAGTCAGCCAGCGTGTCCCATTGCACCTGTCCTTTGGGTGGAACCGGACGTTGAGGTGCGGATTTCAGCGGCTTGTTTGGGCACTACATATGATGCGGCGCCAATGTTTGCCTTCTGCATGGCTGCATGAGTGGATTTTTGGAGTCTCAGCCGCCATCCTGTGACATATCTTTAGATAGGTAAAATGCATGTAAGTGAGGAAAGTTTCGCAGTAGAGCACTCATTGGAAAACGGTATATCTAGTCGTACAAGCGTCCAAACCCAAACGCAACAGATGGGGAAGCAGGAGACAGCCTGCTTCCATGCATACTTGGTGGCTGCTAGGCGCTCGCTTGCGGATGCCATTATTCACTTGCGGCTTAGAATGGTCAGCGACAAATTCGTCAGCGAGGTTTTAATTCCACCAGAACCTAGAGCCGCGCACTCTGTGTTCTCTGGCGCCTCACATACGGAGTCCAAGACTCGTACTGACTGCAACGAGGTGCAGAGCTTCGACAAACGGCCGTTTGGCCTCCGGGCACTAGGGTGGGGAGACGTAGTTGCCCTGGGGTGGCTGCGGACGAACCGGTGCCCTCTTGTACTTCTACTTGGCCTGATTTGTTGTTGTACTTCCCGTCTATGCCCTTCTCCAAGCAACATAAATCCGAGGCAGTAAATCCGAGAACGCTTGCTTCAATGATGTCCTTCAGTCACACCCGGTCTGCTTTGTGGGGGAAGCACAAGGCTCTGGAAAAGACGAAATGCAGTCGTTCGGCATCGTTTCAGGGGTTGCCGCAGCTTTGAGCCGTCTCACTAAGGGGGTGGCCGGGGTACTAGCCTTTGCTAGAGAATATTATGGATGGCATGCCTGTGAGGGCTGAGCCAATTTCTAGTTGTTTTCGAGCTCTGGACAAGGATCAGGGTGCAAGGTTTGGGAGATGAGTGTAGCTGGGGATTGTGAAGACAGCAGCGACATGACTTTGCTGATGCTTCTGTTGTTCACATTGGTGCCGTATCGGTCATCAAGACAAGCGGGTGCGAAAGTTCCCGGCCTGTTTTTGCAGCACTGTTCTTTGTCGTCTTTGTCATTGGCGCTGACTCGGCTTCGGCTCGAGGCGGAAGGGTTCCCCGCATTCCGGCGCTTGTTGCGGAGGTGGGCAAAGTCTCACCATGCTGCCCGTCACTGCCCTCCCTCGATCTGGAAGGCCCCGCTGCCCGGGCATGGTCGGGTCGGTGGCAGCGACCCATCTTGCAAATGATGTGCATCTGGCGTCCAATGGAACCGAGTGCTGGCATCACAGCAAATTGCGTACCCATTCATGATCGGGCAACCGGACATGCCACAAGGCCTGAAGCAAGCTGGAGCCGGCTGAGTTTCGATTGCTTCCGGGTGTTTGTTCCGGCCATTTCGATCTGCGCTGATACACGTGTTGGCAATGCTGTTGGAAAAGGCACGCCTTCAGCGGCAAAACGTGCCATGCATGTGGCCGTTGCTTCCACTGTGGTCTCACTGGTCCTGGCTCGCTTTCCGGATGCTTGGAGACAAGGATTCGGTGCATGGACGCTGGCTTGTGCAAGAAGATGCGGACCAAGTTTTGGAGATTGCAAAGGATGCCCTGAAAGCACATTCGCGTCCATGGTCACTGGTGATTTTCAATGAGACCTGGAATGGAAAGAAGGCCACGTTTGACTTGCAATACCGAATCTTTAACTCTGCCGCGGTTGCCTTTGGCCCTCACGGCACTGGGTTTTCCAACGTCATTTGGGTGCCTTGTACGGGCCGACCAGCTGCTGTTGAGTTCATTTGCTCAGAGCAGTCGATGCACTCACGAGGGCAACCCCAACCTAATCCGCTATGCAACCTACTTGGGCATGCATGGAGGATCGACGTGGCTACGATACTATCATGTGTTCGTTTATGCTGCAGGTGACAATGTTACGAACTACATGAAGTGGACCTAGATGGCTTCCAGATGGCCATGGATTGAGCGCTCGGCGGCCTGCCACAGCCTGTAATTAAGCTCTAGACTTGTAGCGTAGACCTGCAGGGTGGTGTGGCTTGAGCGTACAGCTACGAATTTTGATATCAAAATTACCCTACTCAGTAGTGAGGAGCTTGTTTATTTCTTGATTGATATTCCCGAACTGGCGAGGACCACAGTAGCAGAGCTGCAGTAACGAATGTGCAAGGCCACGAGATTCAGGAACGCTATTATATGTCTTATGATTCGACTTTGGAACTGGGATGGCCAGCTATCGGACTTGTTTGGTAGCTCCGGTGTGGTGCAGCCAGACTCGTTCGACAGTTGGTTTTCCCTGTGTCGCACCTCCACCCTGTCTGACCGAATCCTGAGCCATTGCAAGCCCCGCTGGTCCTGGACCAAGCCCTCGCCACCGTCCCTCCGCCCCATTGATTCTACATCAATGGAGGTTTGAACCCTCATGCAACTGCTTGAGCCTCGAGTGTGCTGAGTGTAGGACGTTACGTAGCGATCCCTCTTTGCGGTATAGCCAGCTCTTCGTGGG